TGAATCAAATTTCACTCCATATTTTTTATTTTTTTGACATTTCAGCATTTATATTGGTTGAATTGATTTTCCCTATTTATTTTGTGTGTGCTGCAGTTTTTTTTTTTTTTTTTTTTTTTGTTGCTTGCAGTACGTTTTGCAGTGTGTTTGCATCCCTCGGCTTCCGTAAATTAAAAGCGTAGCTAATGAAACTACGCTTATTAAATTAAACTAGAAGACGCTCAATAGAAATTTACCTGAAATACGACTGAAGATTTTTCAATAAACACTTTAAGCGTTTATTAATGCAAATAAATTAGTATTGTAACTTGCTGTTTATCTTATATATTTTTTCCTGCTCCATCTATAATTTCACTTTTTCTTATATTGATTTTTGGTTTTTAGGTCAAGCGCCCCCCGGTGGCTACATTGTGTTGCTCTGACCTTTACCTGCAGTGTTCTAGTAGGATGGGTGGAGCTCCTGTGGGAAAACACATGAACATTTGTCTCATATTTATTTACCAAAGGGACAGAGTCATGGTTTATTAGTTAAAAAATGTCAAAGTATGTAAATAAACAAAATACTTCAGTTCTATTAATTGAAAATGAATTTGTTTCATCGGGTTATTAACCGTTTTCTGTAATGAATAAATGAACTGTCTGGATTTTTTTCTGCTTCCTTTAATCGGGTGATTTTTCTGTAAGAAAGCAGGAATCTGTTGTCAGCCTTTAAGCAGAGAGCTGCCAGTAAATCTGGCTCCTCGTTCACAAGAAAAGCAAAAATAATCAACCAAAATGAATTTGTTCGCATTTCAAAATCCAGCTGAGACAGTAAAGTCCTCCGCTCTCGCTCTGCTGCAGACGTTGGAAACCAGGAAAGCTTTAATAGTTTCTGCTTCTACAGGGAATGACTCTGGACTGTGTGGAGATCTCTCTTGCTCGGGTGTTTGAGAGCGGCCAGGCGTACGTGGCCCTGTCCCGAGCCCGGAGCCTGGAGGGTCTGAGGGTCATGGACTTTGACCCACACGTGGTCCGGGCAGACCCAGACGTTCTCCTCTTCTATAGGAAACTGAGGAAGGAGAGGTTGCTCATGCAGGTGGGTGCAGAGCTCATCCTTGGTTATTGAGCTGCTTTTGGGTTAATGTCTCCAAACTGATGGAGTTTGCTTCCCCTTCAGGCCTCCATGGATCATTTTATCTCCAACGACAAAGAAAATTTCCCATGAGGAACATCAGCTTCTCCTGAACCTGTATGCACTGTGTGCAAGACAATAATTACCATGTGACTGGCTGGACTGCACTGCCACCTGCTGGTCATTTCAGCAACTTCACTTTTTCTTTGAACTTTAGACTTTTTATGTTTTTAACTAGGAAACCATGTGTAATTTATTGGGGTTTTTTTTTATACTGAAATAAAAGCTCCAGCTCTATCAAAGTCTTTTTTTATATATTTATGGTAAAATTAAAATCTCCTCCATCAGTGAATTAAAAAAAAATCTTCTGTAAAGTATCCACAAATATTGCTTATTTCAGCTGCTTTAGTTTAATGGAGACTCTTGGACCAGTTTGTTCACTGGAATGCTCAACATTTGAACTGGAGTAGCTCCAACCCAACAAGTGAGACTTTTTACATTTATTTATTTTTAATTATTTTGTAAAAAAACAAACTTTGGTCCAGAAGAGTGCAGTTCTAGGAATAGCAAAGATGCTGCGCAGAACCCTCAAACTCCCAGGCCTCTGGAAGGGTGTGTGCTCAAAAAAAAAAAAAGAAAAAAAAAAGTTTTTCCAGTGTGAGACTCTTGCTAGAGGAAATTCAAATTTAATTTATGTCCTTAGATGTTAAAGAAAAGCTCTGACTGGGGAAAGCCCAGCACACACCTTTATACAAATCCCACCCCATCATTAAGAACTTTCTCACCCATGAACATTTGGAGGAAAACTACTTCAGTTCATCAAGGACGTTCCCCGTTAGGTTCATGTATATTTCACCGGCCAGATAAACATTTCAGAACAAGTGTCTGTTTACGGCATGAAGGAGGATGAGGAAACTTTAAACACAACAAACATGCTTCCACAAGCTGGACTCTGGGCAAAATGGAGCCTGAGTGGGACAGAAGGAACGATGAACGCCGCAGAAAAAACATCCTGGATGAAAAGCGGATCTCCTGGAGGCTCCACTGATGGAGCATCACTGCAGAATCTAACGGTACTTCAGAGGTTCTGCTTGATGCGGTCCACATCAGCTCATTTCTGCTGAAGCTGCATAACAATAACGGCTGTTTTGGGGTTTAGAGTAAAAATCCAAGTCGGTTCAGTAAAACCGTGACACCCAGAGAGTAAGAGAAAATATTTATTTGCGATTTGGAACAGTGAATAAAGGCCAAACCTGAGGTAAACATTTCTAATCTGACCCATTTAGTCTGGCTAGAAACTTCTAGCTGGGCTGCAGCAGCAGGTGTCCATGGAGGAGGAGCACGTGAAGACGGGCGATCAGTTCAACGGGACGAAGGAGAGCAGGAAACATGGCGACTGGGAGTAGATGGGGTCCTACAGCTGCTGGGGGGGTGGTCAAGGGGGCGGGGGTCATTTCACATCGTGGAACAGCTTATGTGCAACCTGAAAACAGAGCAACAGTCAGAGGCTTTACTGAAACAATATAAAAATAAAAAATCTAAGTTTTAACAATGATTTGTGGGTGTGGACATAGCTTTGTTCCCTACGGAAGAAGATTAGGGCCACTGAAAGGAAAAATAAAAAGTTAACAGATTTTTCTAAATTTTATTTCAGTTTAATATGGTAAAAAGTCAGAATTTTGACTTTTTTCTCAGGTCATTAAAACAAGAGAGCTAGTCTCTAAAACAGACATGGCTATGGCTTGATGCTAACATGTTTGTTAGCTGTCAGAATTCTGAAAGAAAAAAGTCAGAATTCTGAAAGAAAAGAAGTCAGAATTCTGAAAGAAAAGAAGTCAGAATTCTGAAAGAAAAGAAGTCAGAATTCTGAGAGGAAAAAGTCAGAATTCTGAAAGAAAAAAGTCTCTGAGAAAAAAAGTGCAGAATTCTCAGAATAAAGTAAGAATTCTGACTTTTTCCATATTAAACTGAAATAAAATAAAATAAAAAAAAATCAGTAAACTTTTTTTTTTCAGTGGCCCTAATCCTCTTCCGTAGTTCCCGGCTAAATGAATCCGATGAGTTTTTCTTGTTAAATAGATATGATTACAAAAACGTCAGGTAGCTTCTAATAGACAACCATTTTTTAATCTAATCAGACTGGGTGAAATAACTAAGCTGCTCACAGCTAATAATCTGCCAAGGGTT